TGGAGCAGAGGAAGGCACCTTCAGGCAAGAGCAGAGCGAGTGGAAAATCAAAGCAGAGCACAACCTGCGAGGAGGGATGCGAGCACTCAGCGGTGCCTGTGTGCAGGGCAGCAGGGATGGGGCTGTGCATTGTGTTGGGAGGGGGCAGCAGCAAGCTGCAGGTGTAGCTCTGTTTCTTGGCTGCTGGATTTGCTTTTGGATGGGGAAGTCAAAAGGGGGATGTATTCAATTAGGTTACAATTTCATTTGTTTTGCAGGATTTCTGTTGAAGAGCTGTTTCTCTCATTGATAATGGACTGTAAAAAAGCATCAGCGCATCGTCTGAAGCGTTTAATTGCCAGTACTCATCATGGTCTGCCAAGCACTCAGCCATTATAATGATGGGTCAAAAATTATCTATAAAATAATCAATGTATCATGTACTGCACTAAAAACGTTCCTTTTTTTTTTTTTTCCTCATCAAGACTAGCTGTGGCAGTTCAGTGGATTATGCATGCTATGAAATATTTTACATACATTCTGTACTTTCTGTCCACTTCTTCGTCTGCTGGGTAGTCCCATTCTCACCAGTCTCCTGTCCCTCTTTGGGCTCAGCTGCTGGTGGCCCAAGGAGCCATGCTTTAGCATAGGGCAGGATTTCTGGAGTGAGGTCAAGCAAGAAGAGATCAAGAGGAGCAGTGCTTTCATGGAAAGGTAGAAATCATTAAAGAAAAATGTTTGATGCCATCCAGGTGTTGGTGCATCCATCAATGGTGAGAGCTCTAAGATCCATGAGGGGCAGTGAGGGTCAATGGCTGTGCCTTTGCTTAGCTGAGGAGTTCTTCCAACCTGAGCTGCATTCTGTGCTTGTCAGCCAGTGACTAACTGATGGATCAATTGCTGCTTGCAGTCTTCTTACACCTGGCTACAGAAGCTGGATGAGCTGTAGCCAATCTACTGCGATCTACTGAGGGCATTCTATGCCTTCAGTCCTTCCCTAGGAATTGGTACCCAGCTGTTTTCCCTAAAGTTGTTTGAGAGAGATTTGCCTCCCGTGGAGTGTCACCATGGAAGAGGAAGGAGGACCAGCCCTGGCTGGTTCCCACCTGGTGTCACATTCCTGGCTTCTGACCTCGAGGTGGGCAGCACTAACTGCTGGGACTTCGGTAAGAATGAGCAAACAGGCTGTTTCTCTTTACAAATAGAAGTGTTGAAATTACAGCTCCTTCGTAAATAATTGTGTTTAGAATAGCAACTGTCATATCCAAATGGGGAAGGATGGGATCTCTCGGGGTCCAGATATTTTCATTGGGAAATCCCATTAATGATCCCTTCCCTTTCCTTGCAGCCTTTCCTGTGGTCTTTCCTGCCCCTTCTGGATTGCACCAGAGCTTTGAAATTCTCAGTGCAGATCTCTCCATCTGCCTCTGCAGCACTGGGAAGTTGGCAGTGCGGCAGCATACGTATAAGGTGGATTTAGAAGTGTTTTCAGCTAAATGGGTTTAATTTTATCATTCTAGATGACCTCCACTCTCCAACATGTTGCTGATATCAGATGCATTGTAGCTGCTAGGAGAAATGGGATTCAACCATTCTGACAAAGGTAAGGGGACAAGCCTAGATTTTGAATATTTTGTTCCTTGCTCTAGGCATCAGAGCATTTTCCCTTTGTTCCTTTATGTAATGGGAAGCATTTGTTCAATGCTATCCTGATAAAAGCGCAGTGCAAACTTCGTGTTGGAAATCAAATGCTGGGGTGGATCAATCTCCAGATCTCATTCAACTTTCAGCGTGTCAAGGTCTGTTATTCTCAAAACACTTAGACAGTTGCAGACTAAAAAGACTTCAATTACCTTTAGAAATGACCCTCCTCGCTGTAGGATGAGCTGTGTTTCTGCTGACACCGCGTGCTGGCTGCGCAGCGGGGTTTGGTGGGCAGGATGCTGATCCCATGGCATTGCACTGAGACCGACCTGCCCACGTGGGGCTGCTGCTGCCCTTTCACTGCTCTCGCAAGGTGTGTAACCCCTCGTTTTGGCATTTTGGTATTGTTAAAAACATAAATGTGGAATTAGCACTGAAACATGTTGCTACTGTGTAGATGCAGAAAATCGCTTTCCTGTTGCGTAGGTGATTGTTGTGGCTTTAAAGCTTTCTCTGCCCCATCAGAATGGAACCAAGACCCTGTCAATTATTGTTGGTTGATTGGTTGTTGTTGTTTTCTTCTGTTTCTTTCTTTGTTTTTCCCTTTCTAAAAAGGTAAAGGGAACAGTAGAGAAACCAAGGGGTTTCTCCAGGGTGTGGTTCAGGATTTGATGTTTAGAACTGCCTTTGTTCTTGCATTTCCCACACCTTACATTATTTATATCGCTCCTATGAGGTGCAGGTGGGTCACGCACACAGAACTTCAGATTTTGTTCCTAGCCAGTACCAAGTTGCAGAGCCCTGCATTGAGCTGCAGCTGTCAGTGCTCACGTTCCTCATTCTCCCTGCTCCCTGGGCAGCCTGGTCTGGTGGTTGGTGACCCTGCACATAGCAGGAGGTTTCAAACTAGATGATCATTTTGGTCCTTTTCAACCCAGGCCATTCTGTGATTCTATTCCATGATTCTGTTTGAGCAGTATTGCAAGTAGGGGTGGTTGACCTGCAGCTAAGACCTGCTGCACATCCCATGCTCTCCTTCCCACATCCACTCAGGTTCCTGTGCGTATTTCCAGTGGGTGAGTTGCTACTAGAAATGTTGCATTTTAATTTATAGCTAGAAAACAGAAGATGTGACTGCAAACCACACGTTGTGACCCAACCGCAGAACTGTCCCAGATTCTCACATCTTGTTTTGAAATTTTATGACAGCCTTATTGCCCCGGGGTATAACATAATCACTTTGCAGTTCACTGATATCCTTTCTTATAGCATCTGCACTAAATGTGTTTTTATCCCAGTTGAATGGAAGAGCACTTTTTGATTCTTCAGATGCAAAGGGGGGAAAAAAAAATCCAAAATGCTTAACAGCTAAAATTATGTTTGTTGTTGTTTTGGACATAAATATGGTTTGAAAATAAGCGTTTCCACCCTCTCAACACCCAAATTCTTCATTGATTATATTGTTTTCCTGCCTTTCATCTGCACAGAGGCTTGATAGCACATTCATAGCACAGAGCTGCTCCTGTTGTACAGTTTGCCAAGAAAACTTCTGAATATGTGAACCACAATGTCACTGTTGGGCAAAGTGCAGGACTTGCTGGTGGCACCAAATGAGGTGAGGGGGCTGCAGGGACCTGCCAACATTGCTCAGGTCCTGCAGGGCCACCTGGGGTGCTCCTGTCTGAAGGCCTTTTGTAAGAAAATGGGAGATTTAAGTTAGGTGTTAGGAGGAAGTTTTTCAGCCAGAGGGTGGTGAGGCACTGGCACA